ATAATATTTATTCTCTTTTACTCTTAACTCATTCTTAATTAAACAACTTGATTAGTGAATAAAAACAAGTTAATTATATAAATATAATAAAATAGAATCAAATATATATCATTTTATAGGGTATGTACAAGTCGCCTTTCTGTCTGTATATTTATTCAAATGTTAAATAATTAATTGCTATTTATGTTTTTTTTTTGTCAGCCTTGTTATTTTTGTTGCTATTTTTTGTGTATTAAAAATTTTTTTCGCATTTTTAAATGAAGTTGTTGCTGTTGTTTGGTCGCTATAAATCAGGGCATTTTAATGCAAATGCTGTTGCAATTTTATGGCTTAAATTAGCAATTGGCGGAGCGCTGCTATTGGCCATTAATATTTATTAACAGGCGGCGCATGATTAATGTGCCATAATAAAATTAGTTATAGAAAAACAGGATGCGAAAGACATAAAATATAAAAAAAAAATATAAAAACATATACAAAAAGCGAACCATTTGACATTCACAATTAAATTATTTAAAGTTCGCAATGCAAAGTTTAATTAATGTCAAATGTCAGCAATTATTCTAAGCCAGCGGAAGCGCAAGCGATATTGGGGAGCGGTACTGAGGGGTAGAAGGGCGGCAAGGGCTCTGTACAAACAGCAGTATGTGGGATAGCCGCAACATTAAAATCAATTAAATTATGAATGTAATTAAAATAATTTAATGGCAGTGCTCTTTCAGCCACTCGATGACAGCTGTAATATTCAATTTGATTACGCAATTGCAGTTAATTAATAATTCAATAAATAACGCGAAAGCCACTTAAAATTAGCTGCAAACAATTGTCAACAATCATCGTGGGTGCACCAAATAGAATGAGAGATCACATAAATTATAGACCTTGACAGTTAGAATGCGTGGGTTGACTAAGACACAACTAATTGAAATGGTGTCTGATATGAAAAAGAAGTCGTTGACAACCTGTTTAAGGATTAGTTTGATAGTAGACATTCAATATTCGAATATTATTATTTTAGCAAGATGTAAAAAATAAAAGAAAATATTGGGCAAGCTTAAGCTCATGCCTTAGTTTAAATTAGTAATAGTTAATAGCCAGATTAAGTAAATATAAACAAAATCAAATATATAATAGATATGCAAGATATTCCACACATTCTTCTGTTTGTTGCGTGCGCTTTTCAATAGCCATAAATATTATATAAATTACTGAATTAAATATAAATACGTTCATTCATATTTGCCTCGTTCTAAATCGAAAATATTTTATATGCTCGCAATAAAAATGATTTTCTAGCTATTTACAATGCCATCAACACAGCAAAGATACATCTACATCTATCTTCAATAGATTTAAGTACACCTCACCCATTTAAGCTCAATCAGCTTCCAACTTGCTGACTACTATAAATGCTTGAAGTATTTTGCTGGCTGGCAACTAAAGTACGAGGTAAATCATCATTTGGTCTAAATGAATTCTCAAATGCGCTCATAAATTTCGTGTCAGTCTTCAAAAGTTCTAAACAAGATGCGTGGCTCGTTTTACGATTCGGAGTTTTATTTGCCACACGGTGCGCCATCCTTTTCTCAATCTCATTCTCATTCGCAGTTACCCATTGACTATGGCAATTCCCATCACAGTTCTGTCAGACAACTCACATAGAGTGTGAGTGAGTGCGAGAGAGAGCGCGCGAAAGATACTCAAAAACTTTGATGGATTTGTATGCCTCATGCCGCTTCGCAATGTTTCTGGGTTGGGATTATGTTAATAGCCAAGTTGGAATTAGCCTGCAAAGGATTTTGCTGCGTGTGCTGCATTAAAATTTATCGACTGAGTGTCTATATATGGCTGCGGAGTATGTAAATTGATTGTGGCTCCAGGGTAAGCCGCAAGGCTTGGCTCTCTCGCTGTCTCGCTCTCTCTCGTTCTTTCACTCGTTAAGTTTCCGTCTTGGCACAATTATGACTTTTAGCTGGCAGCTGTGAGTGGCCTCATCTGGCCAACGGGGTTTTTGGGGTTTTACGACAGCGACATAAACCCCACAAGTGGCCACAATGCAATCGTAAATTTTTGCGACTGCAAATCAAATTAGTGCAGCTCTCTCGAGTCGTATACACAACACACACACACACATATATATATATGTATAGCGCTTATAGACACCAAATGTATGCACAACATTTTCTTATTCGCATGTGCCTGAATGCATTTGCCAACTTTACTACAGTTGGCCAAGATTCGAGATTAGAAAATATATAAAAATTGTAAGAAATCATAAAAAATATATATAAAAAAGTAAATAACAATGTGTAGGAATACATAAAAAAATATATAATTTAAATAAATTAGCTAAAGGTATATAAATCAGTTGTTTATTCTAAATAAACACATATGCTCATATATATATATTATTTTTTATTTACTTAAATCAAAACAATATTAGAAATAGTAGAATAATATTTCTATTTATTTAATTTATTAAATTTATTATTGTTATTATTTATTTTGGTTAATTGTTTTATTCAATTCATGCCAAGTTGTATGCATATATAAGACTTGGCACGAATTGAATAAAACAATTAACCATAATAAATAATAATAATAAATATTAAATAATAAATACCTTACAATTTCTATGCTTAACTCATTTGCATCTTCATTTTATTTATTTTAATTTTTATTTTTCATTTAATTAGAAATTTTTTAATACACATTTTTGATTCTTTTTTAAGGCGATTTGCATTTTTGTTTTATAAAATATAATAATTAATTATTTTAAAATATTTTGTTTGGTCTCTTTTGCATTATAATACACATAATATTATATAAAAAATTTAACTTTCTGTGCAATCATTTGTATTTTTACTTTACTAATGATGATTGGATAAATCAAATGCAAAGCGGAATGAATGAATGCCAATAATCACATTTAATGTAGGAATATTTAGGTCATTGATTAGCATCAGAGTTTCTGACAAACCACATATCTAGCAAAATATCTCATCTGTAGTCAAACCTTGTAACGTTTTGTTAATATTTTTGATATGAGTTTTTAAATAATACCTTAATTTTTATTGAAAGTGTTTCATTTTGTATTTGTTAGCTGAAGTGAAAGCCTTTTGCTTTCTCTCTCTCGTTCTCTCTTACTCTCCTCCTATATCCCGCCCGCTCTTTCTGTCTCTGCTACCTATTAAATTGCTATTTCATGTGCATATTGAGATATTAATGCAATTAACTGCCTGCGGTATGAACGCCTGCGGCTTACTGCAGCATACTTTTCAGCTGCTGCAAATGGAGTGTGTGCGTGCGTGTGTATGTGTGTGTGAGTGTGTGTGCATGCGTGTGCGTTCTGTTGAATTTTGCATATATGATCGATAGACGGGAAAAACTTGACTTGGCATTGTGTTGCTGCTATGTTTTATAGAGTAGCTACTGCAGCAGCAGCAGCAGTTGATGCTGCATAGAAATGCGAGCGATGCGTATTGCCCAGGCCACGATGCCAGCGGCAGTCAATTTTCTTGTTTACAATGGGTGGCACACACAGTCACACACACACGTGCGCACATGCACACATACTATGACAAATAACAAACAATTACAACAGCGCGGCGCTTGTCTCTCAGTCGTTGTGGTTGTTGCTTTTGCGCCGCAATAAATACAATTTGCATGACAAAATAGCAAACAACGGCAACTTTTGCATACGTGCATGTATGTGCCAGTGTGTGTGTGTGTGTGTGTGTGAGCGTCTGCAGGATCACTCAGCCAAACAAAACTACACACAAAAACAATCAACTGCCAGGCCGTCCAAACAGCAGCAGCAACCACAACAACAACTTCAGCTAGGCTTTATCCTGAGCTGCTGCTGTTCTGCTACTGCTGCCACACCCACCTTTTAGCCCCGCCGCTGCTGTTGTGTGGAGCAACTTATGAATATTCAATTTTACATAAAAGATTTTTGTTGTTGTCGTAGCTGTTTGTTGTTTTGATTTCTTTTTAGCTTGCAACTCTATGTGGCTCTCACTTCCTCTCATTCGCTTGCTCTCGCTTACTCTTTCTCGCTTTCTCGCTCAGCCACACACTTCACTGGCCCAAAAAGACTTCACTATGAAATGTGAAAAATATTGGCCTGGCTAGAAGGCCAACTGGCCAGCGAAGCAACAGTAACAGCAGCAGCTACATACACTGAGAATAATTTACTACATACTTTTAGAGAAGAAAATAGTTAATGAAGTTTTTCCTTAGGTCCTTGAGCGAATATTGAGAAACTGATTCAGATGCATTGAGTGAAATTCTAAATTAATATTTAGTAATTTAAATATAAATCTAAAAACTTTTATGGCTCTAGCTAATGACACCTCAAAGATTCAAATTAGTATCAAAATGCTATTTTAAGGAGATAAAAAACGCTAAATCCTATATCTAAATATTATACAAAATCGATATTTTCCATTGTGCACCAACTGCAGAGCTCAACTATAAAACTTTGTTGACCCAACTCTAAAGCTTAAGGTATGTCTCTCTCAAGATTTCTGGCTATATTTACTGTATTTCAACAGTGCCTTAAAATTCTTTTCAAATACTTATTAATTTTGTTTATTTCTAGTAAGCATAATACCGTAATTTTGTAATACAATATAAATAATTCTATCATATATCTATAAGTATTTCTATAATCTATAGTCTATAGTCTTGCTGTTTATATAAATTTATATTAATCTAATATTTTTACAGTTAATATTAATTTACAATGCACAATAATTTTGCAGAGATCACTTATCAAACAAAGAAAAAGTTAACATCGTACTGCTCACCAAATACCTTAGATAAAAATTTGGAGATCACGTCAAAAGATTTTTTTCTTAAAATTAAACAATTCTAATCTTGTTGTTGACATTAATAAGCTGACCTATATATATATATATATATATATATATATATATATATATATATATATATAAATATATGCATATATATAGAAATATATATGCTTAATTCTCTATGTATATATATATATATATCCTAGTCTAAATCTATATTTTTAGCCAGATAAGTATTGCCCGTTTGCACCTTGGACAAATTCATGTTGACCAAAGACTTAACGAGATCGTCCATGCTAATGACCAGCTCGCTTTCGTCCACCAGGTGGACATCGATGATGCAGTTGCCCTCCTTAATCATTAGATTCCGCATATATTCGCGCATGCGATAGATGCTGGCGTGACGGCACAACTCTCGCAGATCAGATCCCGAATAGCCGGCCGTCAAATTGGCCAAGCGTTTCAGGTCGACGGTCGGATGCAGCTGCTCGTGCTGCAATATCACCTGCAGTATGGCTAAACGCTGGCACTCCAATGGTGGACCAATGTGAAATTGTGTGGGCATGCGCCGCAAAATGGCCTTATCCAGATCCTGTGGCCGATTCGTGGCGCCCAGCACTAAGACCGAGGAGTTGGAGCTGCTTAGCAAGCCGTCCCACAGCATCATAAACTGCGTCTTCATCATGGCCGTCGCCTCGTGATCTGCTGCTGTGCGGATGCGTAAAAACGCCTCAATCTCATCGATGAATATTATGCATGGCTGAAGTTTTTGGGCGAGCGTAAAGACGGCGGCAGCCAACTTTTGGGATTCTCCATACCATTTGTCGGTGAGCACTGCGACATCCAGATTAATGAAACGCATGCCGGCCTCCTTGGCCATAGCCTTGGCAATGAGTGTCTTGCCACAGCCGGGCGGTCCATAGAGTAAAACGCCTTTCGGCGGCCGCCACAGCTGCGAGCGCTGAAACAGATCTCGGTGTCGGACTGGCAGCACCACAGATTCGCGCAACTCCTGGATAACCGCGTCCAAGCCCGCAATGTCCGACCAACTTATATCGATATCGGCGGGAGCGATCAGATGCGAAGCTATCATCAGTTCATAGCTATTGAAGTCGCTTAGCTTCAGTTTATTGCCCTGTCCGGTTATATCGTTCAGTTTCTTCAGCTGTATCTGGGCCTGCCGTTTGGCCTTCTTCTTGGTCTTGCTGGTGGGATCGACGGAGCTGATTATCCATGTGGCGCAGTAGTAGGTGACGACAGCAACGATGCCAATGCGCACCAGCTGTATTGCAAGTTGATAGGCTGGTCTATTGGGCCCGTCCATTGTCAATTTATAGTTATTATAAAAACACATATTCACAAATAGTCGAAGACAAGAAAACAAGGCAGCTTGACAGCTAGTACAATGCAACAGATATTACCAACAATTTCTCAATACAAACGTACAAAAATTTTAAACAAACACTTAAATATGGAACTGATAAACCTTCCATTATTGACAAAATATGAAACGATATATATATGAAATAATAATTTGAATATATATAAATATATATATATATTTACCTTATCACTTCTTTCGTTCCACTGTCTTTGACTTTGTGCTGCATTTCTCTCAGTGTACATGCACTTTTTCCCCCTTCAACAGCGCTTTGGCTCTACTTCGCTTAATTTCTGTTTAACTTTTCCTGTTTGCTCTGGCCCTGGCCAAGCAAAAAATGTTTTCTAGTTTAGCATCTTTTAGCGGAAGTCAATGTAACAAAAGATAAACTTGTCCAGCCAGCTGCTACTGTTACTGCTGCTGCTGCTGCTGCTGTTGCTGTTTCTGTTTCTTCTTCTGCTTGTTTGTATTGAATTGTATCTCGAAGGGGGCAGCTGCAAACCGTTCAGCAGCACAAGTATTAACTAAACACTGCAGCAATTTATCTTGCTCGAACCACAGTCCAGGTCCAGGCGCCTCCAAACTTCGCTTTTGTCCAGCTATAGGGCGCACGCGTAGGTCAGTTTTGTTTTAAAGTTTTCTTAAGTCGCAACTTACATGACTTCAGGCCCCAGCACCAGGCCCAGCCTCAGCCGCCTCAGCGGAAGTCGCATCGCGCTGTTGTTTTTTGCACTTCCTTCCGCATTACAAAAGAATTACTCAACACAAAATGTCTGGCAAAAGTTGGCCAAGATGAGATGCTGACTATTCGCCAGCGCCAGGTGCCAGACAGCCTTTATTAGCGTGCCGGAAAAAAGAATACAAAAATATCAAGAATCACCCCTAGACAGGTATAAATAAAACAAAACTCTGCCTGTGCGTTTATTAAAAATATATTGTCCTGATTGTTTTGCTTTTAGACCACGAAAGAGATTTTCAATTTCAGCAAAAAGTAGGTCTTACAACTTTCAGCTGTACTTAAAAGTTTTCCGACTTCAGTAACAAATTTAAACACTTAATAAGCTTGTTTTAACTTTAATATTAAATAATTATATATAACATATATGACTAAATATATTTAAATTATTTTATTAATTACATAATTATTTTTAAATTACAGAAAAGTTTAAATAAAAAAATAAAATTTTATTTGAATTTTAAGTAAAATTAATTCTTTGAATTTTATTGAATTTAATTATGACTTGCTAATATTAATTATACTAATACTTACGCCATTAAAAAAATATAATTCAAATGCAATTAAAAAATTTCTTTGAATTTTACAAAATAAAAATCTAAAAGTTTTTGCTTTAAAACCTAATTTTTTAAGAAACTATTTTTAAATTTTTTCTTAAAAAAGTTGTATAAGTGTTAAGTATTTATTATTTATTATATTATTAAATATTATTAAATATTATTAAATATTATTGAATATTATTAAATATTATTAAATATTATTGAATATTAATCAATATTATTAAATATTAGTCAAAAATAATCGATATAAAAATATATAATTTAATAGCCAATAATAATAATAATAAAAAAAAAATTTTACTTTCATTTCAATTGAAATTGCTAACTCCAAGATTTTAGATACCAAACTTAACTTTTTTGCTCTGTAAACCTTTCTAAAGTATTTGAAGAATTTTTTTATATTTCTTCAGCAATTTTCAGTTAATAATATGCTCAAGTAATTTCCCTATTTCTTCAATGTCTTCTTCACCTGATCCCTGTTCATGGAAATCAGCTCAGTATCTAATGGCACTATCTTTCGCTTTGTTCTCATAACCAGCAGCAACAGCAACAGCAACAGCAACAGTAACAGCAGCAGCAGCAGCAGTTGCAGCAGTCCAGAGTGATATCTTCCTGTGCTTGACGGACGTATTTGAGGCAATTTCTATGCGCTTTTGGAGCTCAGGCGTCTTATCCTTAAGCTCGTTAGCGTTCGTCTCCTTGTTCTTCTAGTCTCGCAGCTACTTTTCAAGAGTTCATAAAAATCACTTCAACTGTGCAATATTTCATGATTTTGCGTCAATCTCTTCAACGGCATTCAAAATGTGGGCGTGGGCACGGTCTAGGTGCTGCTGCTGCTGCCTTTAGTTGCAGCTCTCTTTCATTTCCTGCCCCAAACTCTTTGCTCTTTGTGAGCGCCAAGTTTGCTCGTTCGTTCTACTGAGCACACGAAAATTTAATTATGTTGCTTGTTGCTGTTGCTGTTGTTGTTGCTGTTGTTGTTGCTGCTGCTGTTGTTCCCAGCAACTGCAGCCGCTTTTACTCGTCGACTTTTGTCACAGTTAGAATATAATCTTGTAACAAATAAGGCAAAAAATGGGTATACAAAATATAAAAAATAAATATATATATATTTATATATACATATATACATATTGTGATACACTTGAATTATTGTGCTGCAGTTGTAACAATTGAGAATTCTGTTGAAGTGTATGGAAATTTATAAGTGGATTATATTTTTAGTATATATAAAAATTAACAAGAAAATCAAACAGATCAGCAGATGCTATAAAGGACTTTAGCGACTCATGTGTGTACGTTATAATCATAAAAAATATTTAAAACTCATAAATGACAAAGTGGCGAAGCTTATAAATATTTACATAGCTGCAATATTTTAATATAATTAACATTTTCCATCTTCTTTTCTCGCAAATTACATTTATTGTTGGTTCATGTTAATAGTTAATCCGAGAGATCATTTCATAAAATATTAATTTGATGGAGTCTTGATTTGTGAAGTCTAGTTATCTCATTTTAGTAAGCTTTCACTGGCTTAGACTAGTGGGGACTAAAGTAGACTAGAGTAGACTAGAGTAGACTAGAGTAGACTAGAGTAGACTAGAGTAGACTAGAGTAGACTAGAGTAGACTAGAAGAGCCTGAGGTAAACTCGAATAAGGGACAACGATCTTGGATACAATTTGTTGAAGTCTACCAGACCTCCTTCCTTTCTCTGACTTTTATTTAACATTTGCTCATTGAGCGGCAAATAAGAGTACATTCGGCAGATAGATGAGCTCCTTTACATACACTCACGCGTCCATTGTACGCTGACTTCCCATTTAGAATGCGGAAATATTTTGGCCACAAATTAAAGAGCATGCTTTAAAAAAAAAATATTTTTTATTTATCCAACATTTACTATACTGAATTTGAACGAAATTTGGAACAGATTCCGAATAGTTAACATACAATTTCCTCAAGGCACAACTCAATCGTCTGTAAGATCAACGCATGTCAACTCTATAAGCAGAAATGCTAATAATGTTTCTCTCGCTCGCCCTCTGTCTTTCAAACTGTGTTTTCTCTGCATTGGCTTTAGTTTTTTAGTTTCAACATTTGCTTTTCTGCTGGTTATAAGTCGTCTTTAAAGTAGATGGTTGTGTCTCTCGTTTCTACCAACGTTGTGGTTGAGCTTTTAGATGAGGATGCAGCACATGCATGTCTTCTATCCTGAATTCGTATCTGGATCTTGTTATAGAGAGCATCCACATGCGGTGCCAAGTATATATCCAATCGCACACGGCTCTCTAGCTCACGCAGCATTCGTTCACAGAGATCGAATTCGTTATTAAAGAACTTGGTCAATATCTCCCACATGATGGGCGACAGACTAAAGAACGGTTTGAATTTTTCGGAATTGAGGCAGCCCAGCTTCAGCATGTCTGTCTCCAAGGTGGCCAGACCGCACAAGCCCGCATAGAATGCCACATCCTGCGGCGCCACAATCTTATCGTAATTGTATTGATCATAGGGCGTCAGAAGGAAGCAATGCGCTGCCGTCTTATAAATTTTCAGGCCCATGTTGGCCAGGCCAGCGGCACAGCTGAGCTGGGCGGGCACAGCGCGCGCCAAAATGGGAAAGCCCAGAGCATACTGCTTGGCCTCGTCAATGTAGCTGAGCACATGCCACCAGTTGGACATAAAAATGGAAACTCGTATCAAGTTACGGAACATATTGATCACATTGTCGCTGCTGGTGCAATAGGGTCGGGCCCGCGCATAGAATTTCACAGCCAATTGCAGATTCCCGCTCTTCACGTGGTAGTCGCCAATCTCCTCAAGTATGCGACGCACATAGGCGCTGCCCGAATTCGATTTCTTGAAGTTGAGCTCAGCATCGAGCTCCTGCAGCAGCAGCGTTGACTCCATCGTATTATCCTCCACCCAGTAGGCATCGTATTGATGTGCCTCGACGCTCTCTCTCCTGACCTTTCTAGTTTGAACGGAGGCAGCACCCGAACTGGACGCTGCCTCGTCATTCGCTTCGACTACGTTCATGGTGCGCTCCCGCTCGGTGCACAGCGTACGGTACAGCTCCTCGTACATCTTTACATTGTATGTCTTCTTTACGTGATTGATGGCCAGCTCTAAGGCTTCCACTCGCAGCTTGGGACATACTTGTGCTATAAACTTCAATCGTATGAGACGGGCAATATCCATATAGCGCTTCGCATAGGAAATCAATACGATTTGGGGATCTTCGACAATGGGACACTGAGAGAGTGTGGTTGCCCGCACTAAGCTTCTCTCGTTCTCATTGCGAATCAATGAAACCGAACCGGAAATCATGTCTAAGTCCGGCAAATGATCTGTAAGAATGTTTTCAAATAATTTTTGTATAATATAAATTGGATACCAAAAAAAAAAATATATATTGTCGATTGTTACGATGCTTACCAGATCGCTATAAGTATTCGTTGACTGAAACCCGTAGACATGTGAATTGATTCAAGCAAATATAAAGTGGGAAGTTATCGATCAATGTTATCGGCCCCAAGGTAATGAACTTAGCTTATTTCTGTAAAGCACTAAAATATATTAATCGTATATTAAAGCAACATTCCTCTTGGCTGAGTTGTATCAAAAAATCTTAAAGTCAAATTTGATTTTCATATAAAAATCTTTCTTCAACATCTTCTTCACAGAAAGCAATCCAATTAGATATATGCACATCTCCGCTCTGCTCACATTTTCTGTCAAACTATTCCGAATACATATATAATATAAAAGGCAGACGCTCAAGCATTGCCAACTACAAGAAATTTGTACGCTTGAATAAGCTGCTATTTAACAGAAAATCAAACATGCGTGCTATCCAATCTGACCGCCAGGTGGCGTGACAAGCTGCAATTGTGCACGTGTGCCACACAGACAAGACTCTGAGCAGCTTGAGCTGTGCTGCAGATGGGCAGCCTTTAACAATTGTGCACAAGCAAATTCCATTACGAAGATACAAATCAAATTGCCAAATCGAATTCGGTGTCGATGGGTCGAGGACCTGCTTGGCCAATAGGGGGTGAAAAGCAGAAAAAAATGAAAATAAAAAATATGCAGAAATCAAATTACCCGAGCTTGAAAAATCGCAGACATCAGAGACACATAAATCAAGGGGCGCCAAAAACTTCAAAAGGCCAACCAAAAAAAGCGAAACCAAAGAAATTGTTACCGCTATTTAACGGTTTATTGATGCGTCGCTTTAGCTGAATTTATTGGCCTGCTCGTTGGCCATTTACCCAGCCACCTGGCCCACACTCAACTGAACCAGAAATGCAAAATGTGAAACTTAAAAAACGTGCAAAATGCTTGAAATTGATTTGACTTCTTGGTAGCCAACGTTAGCCCATTTCTCAATTGTGGCCAACACGAGCTGTTAATGCCATTACCATTCAAATGCGCAAAAAAATGCCCCAAAAGATAAAAGCAAACGAAACCAAACATTAGTCTATGCATGCCTCAATTTCGATATTAATCAAGTGATGCGATCCTGGTGAAAGGCGGCGGATTCTATTAATGTTGGTAAAACAAGTCGTCCCTGGCAATTTGTTAGCTTAGCTGAGGAAATGTTATCAGCTTGCTTAGACCAAGAACTAAACATTGCTTCATTCCATTGCCCCAAAATTATAGATCAAATCTGTTCAAATCAGTTCTTTTGACAGCGCTCTAGACACGGCGATCTAGACACGTCTATCAATTATCGTCAGGGTAATTGCAGTTTAGTTCAAACGAATTTAACGTTAAGCTTTAGCCGGACGGCACAGGGCAGAGGCAGGAAGAGCTTTTGATTAAGAGATTGAAGCCGCAGCGATGATGTGAAGCTAAAAGACAGCCGACGGCAATCAAAGTCACAAAATGCTTGCAATTGGCATGTAATAGCGTTGGGAGAGGGACAGGATGGGGGGAGGGGCAGCAACCAGAGGTCAGAGGGCAGAGACGGGCTTAGAGGTTGAGCACTCGGTGGCATCGCTTTCAGTTTGACGCTTTCGACGCGTGCAAATTTCTAATTTCATTAAAATTTGTTCGTTTCGCCGAACAGCGGTGGATGGATGCGTGGGCAGCAGGGGATGAAGGCGCTGTGACGCTGCTCAGACGTTGACAGACACAAATTGACAATAGACGTCAACACATGAGCACCGGGGCAGCTGTGTGTGGGCGTGGAGGCGTGGCGACAGCTTTGGCAATCAAAATGTGCCGATCAAAGTACAAAATCGATTTTAATTGCAATCTAGCGACGCTTAGCGCTCGATTGTCGGTCGAGTGCGGAGGCGTGCAGTGGGCGTGGCCTGTCCAGACCAGCGCACTGGTCAGCTCGCGTGCATGTGTGTGCGGCAATTGCTTTTTGCAACGGCGACGCGACACAAGCCACAAAAAACGAGCCCAGCGAAATATTGAATCAAAATTTTGAATGGCCCAGCGAGATGTCCACACCGAGCATTGTCCATGTTTTGACTAATGTGACGCCATTTGTAGCGTCAGCTACTCCACACCCACACACCAACACACCCACACACACACGCACACAACATATTCAAAGCCATTAAATACTGCAGCACAATTGTCGCTCGTAGGCAACTCAATCTGGCTGTCAAATTTACAAGAGCCCAATTAGGCCACGCCTACGCTTACTAAAAAAAATAAATTTGTCTGCCAAAAAAAAAACGAACTTTGTCAGACGAGACATTAATTATCAGCACAACAACAACAACAACAAAATGAATAGACTGAATATGGCTGGCATTAAAAGCACATCAAATCGATGTGGCTCGTCCGCTTGGTTTCTTAAAGTGCATTAAAGAGCTCAACTGATAAAAATTCGAAATTAAAAAAATTTACAAAATATCTGAATTATATATTTTAAGTTTTAGGCCTCTAGCTTCTGTAGCAGGCGGACAGATGAGCTTGGGTGAACGTCTCAGCTAGTCGCTCTGATCAAGTGTATGTATACTTTATGAGATCTGCCACGCCCTCTTCTGCCTATTACACACATTTCCACAACACCATTATAAAACAAATTCCCATTTTCACTAAGTTCAGGGTATAAAAATCAAACGGAGAAATACAGAAAATTATAACCATAAATTCTCAACTAAAGATGCAAAATCGAATTTTTATTATAAAATCTGAAATTATTTTTTAAATATTTCTGACAACTTTAAATTTGTATTTAAAATATATATTTAGCTATAGATATTATTTACATATATTTAGATATTAAATCTACAACACCTGAGTCCAGCTGTTATCATGAACCATCTCGACAGCAAACCAGCTCAAGTTTCTACTTAGATTATTTTTTTTTTGCTATGATCAAGAGTAAGAGCTTTAACTAGTTAAGGTTACTTGAGCTATATTATAAGCTGGGAGTTAGGAAATCAAATCACTTTGGTCAGCAAATGCTGAGAGTTCAAGTGGCTTAAAGGCTGAGGCTAGTGCTCAGTTCCAGCTTCCTTACGTCTGACATGAATTACAATTTTTGTATATATATTTAAATATATATTCGTTTTATATATTTTTTATGCAAACGTTTCATTTATATATAGATAAAAATTTGAATATTTTAAATTAGCTGCATCAAGTGTGTTTCATATTTTAAATTTAAGGAACTTAATTTTTTAGACTTTCACTCTGATTTTTTAGCCTTGAAGTTTGCACTTTGCCATGAGCCGCGTAATTGTTTGCAGTGTAGCTGCAGTTATGCATTTATTTTTCATGCACTTATTTCGCATTTCTGCAAAGTCCTTTATTGTCCCTGCACTTGACTCGACGCACAAGGACAGCGTGCAGCACTTTGCTTGTGCAGCACTTGAACTACATTGTGTTGTTGTTGTTGTTGTTGTTGTCGTTGTTGTGTTCGTCTGTCATTCATTCGCATAATTACGATAAACAAAATGTGCAACAGTTTTTTGCCACACTTTTGCGGCTATGTGTGAAATTTAATTATATTTCAATTTAATTTCCTGCTGCAAGCTATGCACACCACCCACCCACGCACCACCCACTGGCCCCATTGCTACCGCAGGAAATTAAGAGCAATAGACGCGCTGATGAGCTAACGCTTTTGTTGGACCTAGACTTAGTGCTTCCTGCTATTGCTGCAATGCGTCATGGTGCCACGCCTCTAGCGTAAACGCCCAGTTGACCTGTGCCCTTTGTGCGTTTTGTTGTTGTGCTAATTAAGTTTGGTCTGTGCATTTTATGTCCGTTGGCCTGAACATTTGCCCATCCATCGAGGTGGTTGTGCGTGGGTGGTGCGATTTTCCTATCATTTTCTTTGCATTTCTTTTCTGCTTTGACAAGTTTTTCATAATGTTGGAATTAAAATGAAGTTTTTCTGCAGATCTTTTCAGCGTGAAGTCGCTGCGAGAAGTTGTCTTCTTAACTTCTGTCCTTTGTGGACATCATAAAAACATTTTCCTGGAATTAAATTGCTTTGAAGCAAACTAGATTAAGTATTTAACAAAAAAATGTTTATTTTTTTTTGCTTTACGCAAACGGAATAAATAATAAAAAATAGGTAGAAAAGCAAGGCGAAAAAAAATTAAAAACAGATAATCAGAAAAATTATATCTATTAATATATATTAAAAAGTATAAATCAAAAAGTAAATAAAGTTATAAATTGGTAAGAAATAAAAGTTCAATGTATATTTAATAAATTAAATCAGAAAATAATAAAGCTTAAGATTAAATAAGAATAAATATTAAAATAAAAATGAAAAGGATATAAATTAAATTAAATAAGGTAATAAATAGTCAAAAAAGTAATATAAATTAAAATAAAAGAATTGAAAAGTATTGAGTTATGGCAAAATTATAAGCGCTTAAACGAAATGTAATATAAAACTGTGAAAATAGTGAAAATAATATTATGAAAAATTTAAATGCAACAATTGATTAAATATATCAGCCAAGGATGCAGAATTGATGCACTCAGAGAATAACCACAATTGGTAATTCTACACCAACTGGATTTAACTATTCTTTTGTGATATTATATTTTGCAATTGACTTAACACTGATACATATATTCTGAACTTAAATTGGTATTATTACAAAATATTAATAACTTATGAAAGCTAATTCATATAAATTTATGTAAGAATTTTAATCTAACAAAAAAAGAATTAATTAAATAAAAATATATTTTAAGGCCTAAAACTAACAAAAACCAAATGTGAGCTTGTTGGCAGAGCTTAAAAAAATATAATTAAAAAATATAATATAAATAAATACATATGCCAATTTTATGCAAATAATTATGAAATGAAAGCGAGCAAATGCCTTGAAGGCTGTGACCCCCAAACAGAGAGAGAGCGAGGCACACTCAATGTCTGGATAGATGGATAATTGTTTATTTCCAACACAATTTATTGTTGCATACACCTGCGGCCTGGCCAGACAGGCGTTTGGGCCAAAGACAGTTCAGAAATATATATA